GGGCTGCTGAAGTGGGGAGACAGAAGGGAGTGAAACATATCCCGTTGGGGGCTCTTTTTGTAGCAGGTACTCATTTGCATATTAGGCCACACCCCCTAATGTAGCCAGTCCTCCAAGAACTTACAGTAGCCCCTGTAAGAAGAGCTCTGTAAGCTCTTGGAGGATTGGCTACATTAGGGGGTGTGGCCTAATATGCAAAGGAGTTCCTGCTACAAAAAGAGCCCTGCTTGGCCTTACGCAAGAGGCAAATGGGATGGTCCCTTTCTCTTTCCATCGACAGCAGCCCAACTCCCGGGGCTATTAGGCTGCGGTCACATGACAAGTGTACCACGATTTGTTCCTGCTGTAGATTTGATCGGGGATAAAGCAGGTTCAGATGATCACACACCCCTTGCCCAACCACTTGCTTTGCACAACAATGCTCCAGGCACTGTCCAGACAGCTGTGCCGCCCAAGGGGCGGTGCAGCACAATTTTTAATTTTTTTGTGCATGTGCACATACGTATGCACACATATGCGCATGCTCACATATGTGCATGTGCGCACATGTGCACAATGATGAAAGTCGCAAAAAAAAAAAACCCTACCGGAAGAAGGATGTTCAGAAGACCTAACTGCAATTATTGCGAGAAATGGCTGCCCAGATGGGCAAAATCGCGGATTCAAAGCACAAATACCCAGAAAGTACTTAATTTTCTGAAAATTTTCGGAAAACTGGCTGGGAACCGGGAGGATCGCATGATTGAGCCCACTTTGGTGCGGGAGACGGATGTGGGTGTCTGATCAGCAATTATAAATGCGAGAGGGAACAGCAGTGAAACCCGATAAAAATGACTGTGTAACCACAGCCGTAGACCATGCTGGTCCCTTCATCCTGGGAATAAACTTTTCAGGGGTAGAAAAGGGCTTGGAGGTGTGGAGGCGAGGAAGATGCTAGACTGCCAGGGTTTGCAGGATCCTACCTTACAAATCCACTCACCCCATTACATCTCCTTCAACGTTATTTTCGGCTGTAGGCGGTATTGGTCCTATGGCCGCTTAAGCCGATCCATAGAATCTCAGTACCCACTGCATCAGCTTAGACAGGAACCTTTGCCTGCTTACTCTTAAAAACTAAATCTGCTGCATGAGATTGGAGAATTTGGAAGAAAAACGCACAGGAAACTGAACAGGAAGACTCAGTGCTTCTGAAAGAGAGAGAGAGATGCAGGAAACAGAGTAATAGCTTACCTTGTCTTTGTTGACTCTGATTTTACGTGGAACTGGAATGTACGTGCTGTTAAAGAAGAAAACCATGGTTTTAATATAAAAGCCAAGCTTACAGCCTATTAAAAAAAATTGCTATTTTTGACATCCGGATTCCTATGAGGAGACTGTTTATAAATGAAATGCCAAATTAAAAGGTGGAACATCTGGATTTGCAAAGTTAAAGGAGAGGAACAACAGGTTAACCGTTCACTCTCAGCATGACATCCCCTCTAGCTACTGGCTGAACTACTGTGAAGCCACAGAATGTTCACAAACATTCCGTCAATGGATCTGCTGCAAAGTGTGGTTCTTCCCAGCCACCATTCTGCCCCTCCTGCCCTGCCACAGAACTCTCAGGTTTGCTTCTGAGAAAGGAAGGGGAAAGGTTGTCAGAAAAGTTTAGATGAATTTGCACACTCTTCTCTAGGAGCTTCATCGGGTTAACCTCCGTGCTACAGCTATTTCGGCCGCTCCCTGGTTGCCAAAATTCATTTCTCTACCAAGGAGAGATTGATACCCTCTTCCACTCTGATAGAGATGCTCACAAAATCAAGCATTTCTCAATTCCCAAACACAATCCTCAGAGCCCAGACTTTTGAAAGAACGTTTCATCGTTCACGTCTCCAGTCTAGAAACATCGATTCGATTTGGAGTCGCCCTCCCAGCTGTCTTCATTTTCTTTGCTCCGTCTCATTTACTTTCGCTT